TAAAAATGAAAAAAACAAATGAAAAATAAGGAAAATAAAAAATACAAAAAAAAAAAAGAAAAGAACACGTCAATGTGGTATGACTGCCATATATTTTTATTAGTTCTATCGAACTGATGAGATGATAGTTCGTTCATTGCACCGATTAATCCATCAGGTGTCCAATTTAATTTTTGACAATTACTGTGATTTTAGTATAACTCGAACGAAACCTTTTTTTCCCTCCCATTGTTGTTATCCTTATATATATATATATATATATATATATATATTTTTTTTTTTTTTTCTTTTTTTTCAGACGATTATACTTTTAGTTACTATTTTCTACATATGTAATTTTTGTTGTTGCTTTCGTTTACAAACTGTCGTAAACGTGGACGTTACATTGATAGATTACTGTGACACACTGAAATAAATTCTGAAAAAAAAAGAAAAATCAAATTACCTTCTTATTGGCTCCGATATATATATATATATATATATATATATATATATATATATATATATTATGTATATATAGATATATGTATATACCGATCGCTATAAAATATTATTATAGTATTTAGAGAATCTTCTCTCGTGAAAATTTATCTAATACCATTTAATTTCTATGTATATATATATATATTTTTTTTTTATTTTTTATATCTTATTTTATATATAAACTAAGTTGAAAGAAATAATATATGAGTAGCTTCAAGAAAACCATTTTTCAACTTGGTTTCTTAATAGATAACCAAGAATGAGAGAGAGGAAGAGAGAGAGAGAGAGAGAGAGGGAGAGGGAGAGAGTGAGAGAGAGTGAGAGAGAGAGGAATAGATAGATATATAGAGATAGAGATAGAGATAGAAATAGAGATAGAGATAAAAATAGAGGTATGCATTTAAAAGAAGTCTATATCGATTCACGGTGGGAGTCAAGTACCTCTCTTAAGAGATTTAAACTCGTCAACCCTCTCTCTGGTGTGTTTATCGTCACCACTTGAGAATAATTTCCACTGAACGTTTGGAGTCTTTTTCATTTCAGTTTCTTTAAATGCAGAAGTAATATAACGAAGTAGCTCCTCAGAAAAAAATTTGTGCTCATCTCAAAATGAAACGGAGGTCAGGGTAATAAACCATTGGAGAAGAAGTATGTATACTTTGAAAAAAAAAAAAATAAACACGTTCAATCGAGAATCCATCGGATTATGTTGAACTGTTATTATTATTATTATTTTTATTATTATTATTTTATTATTATTATTATTATTATTATTATTTTTAGTTATTAATCTTTTCTTCCTTTTGCACGTATCTCTTTTCTTTTTCTGTTCATTACAAAAATGAAAACCAGAAAAAAGAAAGAAAAAGACAGAGAGAGAGAGAGAGAGAGAGAGAGAGAGAGAGAGAGAAAGAGAGAGAGAGAGAGACTCCATAATTTGTATTCAGTCTCAAACGAACTCGGATCAGGTAATCAACTTTTTGTAACAAGGGTAAACGTTTAATCTAATTCAAACTTTTATTATCATTTTTATTATTTCTTTTCTTTTCTTTTCTTTTCTTTTCTTCTCTTCTTTCTATCACATATCTTACTCATTCTCATTCGTTACTAATACGGAAACCAAAAACTCAAATAGAGAGAGAAAGTGAGAGAGAGAGAGAGAGAAACAGATATAGAGAGTGGAAAGGAGAAAGAGAGAGATAGAGAGAGATAAAGGGAGAGAGGGATAAAGGGAGGGAGGGATGGAGAGAGAGAGAGAGAGAGAGAGATAAATCGTTCAACGACACACTTTCATCATGAAGCGAGAATGAAGCAACCTCCTGGCAAAGACTTAGCGGAAACTGTGAGCTCTTTAACGAGCACCGAGCGTGATATTTACGAACATTACAGTTATCTAGTGGTTGATAAAAAAAAAAAAAAAAAAAAAGAAAAGAAAAAGAGAGAGAGAGAAAAAAGAAGAAAAAAAGAAATAAAAATAAAAATACTGAAAAAAAGAAAAAGAAAAAATAAAAAAGTAATTATATTTTTTATTCTCGAACAAGTCTCAAAGCATTTAAACAAAGTATATAATAATAATAGAATAAAAGAGATTCGAAAGTTTGAAATAAAATCCCTAAATGATTTTATTATACGCATTAATTGATCCCAATTCATTATAAATCAAATTATATTTATAATTGGTGCAGTTCGTTCGATTTTATCAAGCAAACGTTTTCACGTATTTAATATTTTAGTATGAATGCACCCCCGAAAACATTATGGATGCCCAAGGCCATTATTACGATGCATTAACTAGACAAAGTATGTACTTTCTAGTATATGTGTGTATGAATATACGTACATACATACACGTGTATTGTTTTTATAGTCATACATAGAAATTATCGTACACATTACTACTCGAATATGTATGTACACGAGTATACATATTTATGTATGTACATACGTAATATCCGTGATAGATCGTATCTCGTTTATTAATTCGACGAGTAAACATTTAATGTGTACATTTTTATCATTTCATTTAATATCATCGGCGAAACAATTTAAACATCGGAAATTATTTATTGAATTGATTTATAAATACGCGTATCATTTTTTTTCTCCTTTATTATAACAAATTTATTTATATAACGATACTATTATTCTTTTCCTTCTTTTTCTTTTTTTTTTTCATTTTCTTTTTATTTATAAATTCATTCAATAAATTTATTGATATTTTCCAATGAGTATACCTATTTTTATTTTTATTTCTTTTTTTAGCACTTTACGTAACTCTATCATGTGGATTTATTGATATATAAGAAATTACATTTCAAGCTATTTATACATAACATGTATTATTAAAAATTACTTCGGAAAAAAAATTATAAAATAATTATAAATAATATAATTAGTATTTATGTGATTAATTATATTTCGCGTTAAATAGTTCGTATAAATGATATAGTTAAATTATGTATAATTATGTACGAAGTGCATTAATAGTGCGGAAATAGAATTTTTCTAAAAATAATGTGAATATTTTAATAAGTCATTGGTCTACTGTTATATTCTGAAAACTTCGTTTTAGATAACCGAACTTTAAACATTTGCACCTGAGGCAGGTCTTTTAAACGGCCCTATTTGTTTCTGTGTCACCGCGCCAACTTTCAACGTATCCTTTAAGTCAAGACAATAGATTGAATTACTTTAGTTGTCTAGAGCAAGCATTTTTCAAGCTTTCCACGGTACATATAATAAAAACTATAATCAAAATCATGATTTATCACAGACATATATAACGTATAAAATTTAAATCAAGTTGTAATAACAATTGTAGATATTTTTTCTCTTTCTCTCTTTCATAACTCTTTAGAAATTTAAAGAAAAGAAAAGAAAAAGCAAATCTCATTTATTCGACGATCAAAAAAAAGAGAAAGACGATCGATCAATGATCTACATAGATTATCGTCCGATCCATTTATATAATAAAAATAGAATAAAGAGATTTATCAAATAAAAAATAATTTTTACGTCGAGTTAGAATAGAAAACAAAAAACAAAGAAAGAAAAAATTGTTCATCTCCCCTCCTCTTCTCCTCCCCAAATAAAAATTCGTCCGACTAAAATTTCAACAATTATTCTCTTTGTTTTTCTCTCTCTCTCTTTCTCTTAATAATCCCCCGCGCAAAACCGAGGGAAACCAAGGCAACGAGCGTCCCTTTGTCGTTCGATTTAATCTCAACCCGAAAAAGCTGCCTTGTCCTATTCTAACTCTCGTGCGAGAAAGCTAAAAGGCGTCTCTCTTTGGGCTTTTTCTGTGTATCCCTTCTATATATATATATATATATATATATATATATATACATGTATATATATGTGTAAATACGTATGTATACATATGTACATATATATATATATATGTATATATACATGAACACATACACGTACATATAAATATATATATATATACATATATATACACATTAGTATATATATATAAAGAAGTTTTTTTCAAGTTTCTTCTCTTAAGAATGATATCTTGAAAAGGAAAGCAAAAGGAAAGAATAACAAGAAAACAACAAAAAAAATAACAATAACAACAATAACAAAAACAACGTCGTCGAAAAAAAAAGAAGAAAAAGGAAGAAAAGAGGAAACTTATCGGTATGAACAATCTTTGAATAGATCTCGAACGTGAGATCTCCCTAACGTGTTGTTGTCCATTGAAGAGAAAGATAGAGCGAGAAAGAACGAGAGAGAGAGAGAGAGAGGGAGAGAGAGAGAGAGAGAAAGTAGAGTCAGTCAGTTTGTTGGTTTTTTGATGAAAAGTAAGATGATAGTGGATATAGTTCGGGGTGAAGGGTGAAATTAGTTCTACGAACTTTAACGAGGATTTCTCGTTGGTGTTAAAAGAGAGACAGAGACAGAGGCAGAAACAGAGACGGAAAGAGAGAAAGAAAGAGAGAGAGAGAGAGAGAGAGAGAGAAAGGGGGAGAGAGAGAGAGAGAAAGGGGGAGAGAGAGAGAGAGGGATGCTGCGATCGATGGCATCGAGGCGCCTAGCAGCCAGGCCCTGAGCTCAGCCCCATCATCCTCCCAGCCCTCCCTCTTTACCCTCCTTCCTGCCCCTGCTCCTTCTTCCTCTCCCTCTCCCTTGCCCCGCTAGATTCTGCAGCACGAGTCGACAAAGTACGACAACGTACGAGTCGTTTGTGTGCAGTATGCACCGGGCACTTGCGCGTCGACTCCCGCGCCCATCTCCAGCGCCTCATCGACTCCAGCTCGAATCTCGCGTGTAAAAGAGAGTCACCGAGATTCGATCGTGGAGTAAGGATAGAATTCATTCCGTGACGACTTTTTCCTTTTCTTCTCCGTCCTTGAAATTTATTTGTGAAAATTCTCGTTACCAGAGATACACACGGTCCTTTTTTTTGTTCGCCTCCCTGTCCATTTGTCTGTTTGCCTGCCTATCTCTATCTCTCTCTCTCTCTCTCACTTTTTCTCTCTTTCTCTTTCTTTCTCTTTCTCTCTCTCCTTCTCTCTCTCTTTCTTTCTCTCTCTCTCTCTCTCTCTCTCTCTCTCTATCTCTTTCTATCTATCGTGATCGGTGGTGAAAGAGTGTGATTGAAGGTGTTGCTGGCGTAGATGGTGTTGTTGCCGGTGTTAGCACCGGTGGTGCGTTAGTTATGATTATGGTTACAGTGGCGGTGTCATCGGTGGTGGGTGGTGCTCCTCTCAACGTGCAAAAACCGGGAATTGGTATATAGTTCGAGCACACTATGCTGCCGTCGAATCGGACAACGTTCTTAAGATTGTTACTGTGATGCTTGACCTACTGGCGGATGATTATGGTAATTCTTACTTAATTATTTCTTTTCATTTATTTGCTTATTTGCTTGTTTGTTTGTTTGTTTGTTTGTTTGTTTGTTTGTTTGTTTGTTTGTTTGCTTCTTTCTTTCTCTTGGTGGGTGATTACCAGTATAAAACGTGTTCATTGGAAAAACAGTATTCTTGATAAAATTGATTTTTATTTAATTGAAAACAATCGAGAAAAACTGTTCCCGAAGGAATTGCGAAAAATTTCACGGCTATCTATAAATATTTCAGGAGATAGCCGATGTCGGAGGTGGGCAGGTACGAACAGGACTGATCTTCCTCTTCCTTATATCGGTGATCCTGATCAAGAGGACTACCGGTTCGAACGGCGGCACCTGCGGCCTTGCGGAATTGACTTGTCGAGACGGACATTGCGTACCAATTGATGCATATTGCAATGGTAAAAATGATTGCGGGGATGGCAGCGACGAGCCAACGCTTTGTACTCCATGCAACCGCACCTATCACGGCCAAGAGGGTCGTACCTATCATTTGGAGCTTTCTAGACCAGCCGAAACGCGTCTTCCTTTTCTATGTCACCTGACCTTCACTGCGGCTGGTCGAGGTTACGGTGAACTCGTTCAACTACTTTGGGATTCCTTCAGCGTAGGACGTCTCGAGCCAAACGCCGAATATCTATCGGCTAGCTGTCCCGAAGGATCTTTGCAATTGGCCGAATTGGGTAGACACTTTACAGGTGGATTTTGGTGTGGCGCCGGCGAAAATCGTGCGACTTATTACAGCGAGACCAGTACGGTCACTGCCTCGATTCGTCTATTTCACGCACCACCCTCCGTTCCCTTTGATTTCCGTCTTAGATATCGTTTCGTTTCTCGAAACGACGCCGTGGCACGTCTAGGAAAGCCGGATTATCCAATCGAGAGGGGCTCGCCCGTTCCAGGAACCTACTGCTCTAGAAACTTTTACGAGTGCCACTTGAAACAATGTCGTCTCCAAAGCCCAAATTATCCAGGAGAATATCCAAGAAATGCGAGCTGTATGATTACGCTCCGTCAAAAGGAGGTACCAACTTGCAAACATGCTATGATATCCGTTAAAAACAGTCCAACCGGCCCAACTGGATTAACCAGCTCCAATGCGTCGCTCAGCATTTGGCAGGATTGTACGCCTGAAAAAGATCGACTAATCTTTCACGACGGCTTGCGTACCGAAGATCCAATACTTTTGATCTATTGTGGTGGTCCTTTACCAAGAGTTATCGCCAGAGGACCAAATATGCTCGTTGAGTTTAGAAGTTCACCGATTGCTATTCCTTTAGGAGCGTCGGCATTGAGACTTGAATTGGAAGTTCAAGTTATCTATGTGGACTCAGATGGTTTGGATTATGCCAGGAACTCCGAAGGATGTCATTTCTTTGTCAATGGTATTATATAGTGCAATAATCCTATTCGATTACTCAGAATGTTATTTTTTTCGTATAATATTCAATCAATTATCCTTTATTGTTAGTTAATCGGAATTGATTATCAACCATTTCTCAATGCTAGTTTCTGCATATTTATATATACCTGAATTTATAATACACGGTGACCACTGAAAGATCGAATGATATAAAAAAAAAATAATTTTTACAAACGCATGCCTTCCAATGGACACCTTGTATTATGCAAGTCCAAAATTGATATGATTGACAATATTTAATTCATTCGATATTATTCCTTTTTTTTTTTTTTTTTTTTTTTTTTTTTTTTATTAAATACCAAGAGAATTATACAAAAGTTCCAGTGATTCATGCGAATTCACGAATGATGCAGGTACAGCCAAAAGGAGCGGCACGTTAAGAGCTCCGCTTCACGCACTACCACCAAGTTCTAGTTGCACGTGGAACATCAAAGGATCAGCTGGTGATCGCGTATGGATATATTTCTCATCCTATTCTCAAAGGGATTTAACAACGAGTACGGAAAATAATGCTAGCACGCAATCGGATTCATTGTGCGGAGTTAAATTATTATTTTGGGATGGATCTCCGTTAACTGGACTTCCTATGGTCACACTTTGCGACAGTACACCTAAACTTTGTGCACATGCGGCCCTTAGAAATGCTACGAGAAGTACTAGACCTTGCACAGCGGATGAAAGTTATCTCACGATTGCACCTAGCTTAACATTGCGAATGGAAACCGTACTTGGAACTGCTCTTCACAATGTCAACTTTCAGGTGAATATAACACACTGTGTGAAATAATTTTTCAATGTTTACATTTTGAAAATTGAACCACGAAACCATTTATTTTCGACGACGAAAAGAAGAATCTCTCAACACTGTGTAAAGCAATTTTTATACGTGATATTTATATAGTATAACTATGTTATATTCATTACAAGTCTTGATATTTACCAATATCAACGATCCGATATTAACTAAATTAGGATTAAATCTGTTAAAGCTGTTAGTTAATTAAACGAAGTAGTTAAAAATTCGAAAATACAATATCTGATTTCAAAGTTATCTAAAGTTAAGCAAGAGGTTATATTCCTCAGTAAAATTTATTGAAACTTCAAACGAAATCGAACTTTGAGCAAGCATATATACATATATATGTATATACATATCTGTTTGATATAACTTATAATTATCATGTATGAAATTTAAGGTATATATTAACGTCGATTTGTTCAGGCTCAATACGAATTCATTTCAACGATTCAAGTTGGTGAACCATGGGGAGACGGTGTTTGTAGCAGAGTTTGGCGTAAAGTTCGAAGTGGTGATGTAACGTCACCACGGGATGTACGGCTTTATGGTAGAGGTGGTTCCTCCAAATTGGATTGTAAATATAGAATAGAAGCTGGAGTAGGTGAAAGAGTTAGATTCACGTTGCACAACGTTAGCCTCGGGGAAGCGACGTCCTGTATCAGCGAACCGGACCCACATACTGGTAGACCACGTTGCGTACACGAGATCGGTTCAAGAGAGGCTCGATTGGTTCTTTACGAGGCACCGTGGCGTGACGTCAAATTACCTAGAGCTTGTCTTTGCGATAACACGTCTAATCTTCCGTTGACCCATATCTCAGCTGGAAGAGCACTTGAGATTACGTTCCTGGTAGATCAGCAGGCACCTCACGAAGACTTCGAGACTCTCTTCTTTTACGCCAGTTTCGAGTTGGTGCGTTCACCGGAGTGCCCGAGAAAACAGAGAGTTCGTGGCGAAGGTAATGTGTCATCAATAATAATTTATCAACTTGTCCCAAATAAGATAATTACACCGAAATAAAAGGAAAAAAAAAGAAAAGAAAAAGAAAAATTTGGTATGGTACTAAGCAGCCAATATATATATATATATATATATATATATATATATATATATATATATATATCAATTTGATATAATTGAGAATTTGTTTTTTTTTTTTGATTCTCGTTAAATTAATCGAATTAATTTTTGATCGAACAGGTGGCGAGTTAAGATTCGTTGCTCCGCCCTTATCAAGGCCGGACATCTATTGCGAGGGTCTTCCATGGTTAGTCGAGGCTAGAGAAAATAGATCGTTATTTGTATTAACTTGGGGTTGGTTCATGCCGTTAGAACCAGGACCGGTATCCGAATCCAGCGACGCCATTAAATGTCCAACATCTAACAGGATATTATTGTATTCCGGTTGGCCACCAAGATTGTTGAAAGTGGTTTGTCCAGCTGAACCCGGTGCCAGGGAGTTTACAGTTCATGTGTTTTCTGAAGAATGGTTAGGCGGAGAGGAAGGGAAATGGCCTGGGCCACCAAGGCCACCTGCACTTTTATTGGATTTTGTTGCCAGAGAATCCGGTCAAGCTGCAGCCTCTTGGTTGGAAATATCTAAGAGCAGAGCTGCTTTACGCAGACAGTTACGTCTTCCAGAAAGAGGACCAGAGAACGAGACCGTATCTCAGGGAGATTGTCCGCACAAATGTCCCGAACTTGGTGCTTGCATCGCTGCCAGTCTTTGGTGCGACGGCAGGCCACACTGCCCGTCCGGTCATGACGAGGCCAATTGCGGAAGCGGCGCTAGATTATTAGGGTTATTGCCGCCGGCTTTATGGCTCGTTGTTGCCGGAGTTACCGGAATTGTCACTGCCTTTGCGTGCCTCTTCGCCATATTAATCAGCAGGTAATAATAAATAAATTTTTTTAAATTCCCATCCTCGTGTCTAAACAATTTCCATTTGAATGGACTCATGCATGTTCATAATACTTATATCAATATTTCTACGTACTCGTATCTTTCCAATCTAGTTTCTCTTTACTTTTCTTTCTTTTTTTTTTCTTTTTTATCTCCTTTCCCTATTAAAAACCATTACGTTAATATATTACCTATTATCGCATTAATATAATTATCATTATTAAGTACATTGAAATTATTATAGTTGCGAAGTTTTGATTAAAAATCTTTTAATCCTTTTTCCTCCTCCTTTTTGCTGTTTTTTTTTTTTTTTAACCTTTACCTTTACCTTTAACATACGAATAATTAACGTTATAAATATCGTTAGATACGATATATTTTGTGATATACTTTATTAATGCAACAAATCCAAGATTAATTATATATATCGGATAGGATTTTCAATGATGAACTTTTTTATAACATTGACGATAATTACAATAGTGACGTTGTTCTATAATAATTTATTTATTTTTCTTATTCTTTTTTTCTTTTTTTTTTTTTTTTCTTTTTTTTTTTTCTTCTTATTTCGTTACAACGTAGGTCCAGGTTACGC